CTCTCGGAGCGGCGAGCAGCGGGTGCGCCCGGACCCCCGGGCCCGGGATCATGGGGAATGGCATGACCAAGGTAGGGGGTGGGACACGAGGTCAGCCACATCGCTGACCTTCCGGTCCCCCTGCGAGCCCTGGGTCCGCCTGTCTGTCCCCCTGAGGCTTCCAGACCCTTTCTGTCCGTTGTCTCAGTCTCCGCTTGTCTGCCCTCTGATTCTGTGTCTCGCTGTCTTTCTGTGGCTGTCACTCCCGGGCTCTCTCTCTCCCGGGAGACCCTGTCTCTGTTTGATTATCACCGGTTGTACCTGCAGGCCTTAGTCTGTCCCCTCCTGGCCCACTCTTCCCCTGGGACTTTCTCTCCTCCCTCACCTCTCCTCAGCACCCTCTCTTCCCTCTCGCCTGTCCCCAGACTGGCCTTTCTTGGTCCCTCCCTGTGGCTAGCTTGCCTGTCTGTTTTCCCGTCCTTCCCCAGTCCCAGACCTCTCTCACAGGGGGCTTAATGAAAGGAGGCAATCGCTCCTCCACGTCTCTTCCGGACAGAGGGGCTGTGGGTCCTCCAGCTGCCAGGGGTGGGAGCGGGTGCACTTTAACCCACTGACCCCTGCCTGTCCTTCTTCTAGGTACTTCCTGGACTCTACCTCGGAAACTTCATTGGTGAGCACTGCCCACTCTGTTCCAAGGCTATGGCGCTCTGCCTGTCCCAGGCCTGTGTCCGCCATTCCTGCTCTGCCCACGCATGATAGACCCTTTCAGAAATGAGGCTGGAGGCAGGGATGCCATGCCCCGCAGAGAGGGAAAAGGTGCTGGTGGAAGATGGGGGGAGCGTTTCATGGGCAGGGGTGTCCCCAGGCCTGAAAGGACAAGGAGGGAGCACTGAGGGTCTGTCATTGACATCCTTCCGTATTCAACCTTCAACCTGCATCTACCAAGAAATCACAGGACAGCACCAAGGGCTCACAGTGCTGGCTGCAGGCCTGGGCAAATCAGCTCTGAGCTTAGCCACCTGCTCCACACAAGGTCCTCGGGGCCCTAGGGCTCTTCTGGCCCCAAGGTTCAACTCTGCTCTCCCCCCTCTTCCATGCAGGAGGCCTCTGGAGATGCTGTGCCTCTGGCAAGCAAGAGTCCTGAGTAGAGACCCCATTGCCCAGCAAAGCCCCTGAGAGCAGTAGCCAGGAGGCCTGGTAGGGGAGGGTTCTGAGCCTACAGGCTCCTGCCTTCCCATTCCTTCATCTGTCCCTTCCACAATAGGCATTTGATTCAGGGAAGAGGTACAGGTGTAGAGCCAGCCAGACCCTGCCCTCAAAGGCCTCCAGGCAACAGTAGAAGGCAAGTCTAAACATGACCTTTGCCTGTAGGATAGAAGACATGCTGAGACAGGTAGTCCAGGGCTTGAGGGACCCAAGGTGGAAAAGTTACTTTGGTCTGTGGAATCTGAGACAGTTCCAAAGGGCTCAGGTGCACCACCCTCTACACCCAGGTCCTTCCTTCCTGGGAGCCACCTTAGCAGCTCTAGCTGCTACGATTTCTGTGAGTATTTAACTAAGTGAGAGGTCTGAGTCCTCTTTAAGTGTGTAGGTCCCATGAGGACAGCAGCCATGGAGTTGTTCCTGGACTGCCAGTGCCCAACAAAAGGCTACATATAGTAAGCCCAGAGGAAATATTTGTTGAATGAGGAAGGGGATGTATGGAGACAGAGGGACTGTGTGTTATTTCTTTGGTTAGAAAAGGTCCATGCACACTGGATACTCAGTCCCGGAAGATGACCATTGATGGCACTGTGGGTATATCCCTGATCCTTTGTGCCTCTTAGGTACAGATATAATATTGAAAATAGAGTGGAAACCTATCCTGTGTTTCCCACTTGAAACTACTGTGAACATCCTTTCAGCACAGAGAGATCATTTTAATGGCAGCACAGTATTCTAAAGTATGGGTACACCACTAGTTACCCAGTTCCCTTTTGATGGACATGAGGTTATTCTGGTTGTTTGGCTATTTCTGATATAAACAGTGCTGCACAAAATACCAGCCTCCATACAGTTTTCTATGCATACACACTTCTGTCCCCAAATTCCTAGAAGTAGAATGGCTGGGCCAAAGGATGTCCTGGGAGGGGAGCTTGGCATGGAAAGAACAGCATGAGCAAGGCCAGGAGATGCTGGGCTGCATCTTGTGGGTACCACAGAGGTGAAGAGGAGAGCTGGGCATCGGGCTTTCACTACACTTCCCTACAGGAACAAATAAGTCACACCTGCCAGCTTGGCTCAAGCATCCTGCTTCTTTCAGATGCCAAAGACCCAGATCAGCTGGGAAGGAATAAGATCACTCACATCATCTCTATCCACGAGTCGCCCCAGCCTCTGCTGCAGGTATCAGAATCCCCATGCCAGGGCTATGTACAGCTGGGGAGGGTGGGCTGCAGACCCGAGCAGTACACATGGATCAAGAGCCTACCGTGGGCTAGGCTCTGTGCTGCCTTCTTGACCCATGCCTACTCGTTCCTGCTTCACCACTGGACTCTTTTACATTATCATCCTCTTTAGCAACTGAGGCCCAGCTGGTCAGCTTGGATGTGAACACAGACTGTCTGGTCCCAGAAGTATCACACTGATCCTTAAAAAGGCCCCCATGAAGACTAGGACATAGCTCAGTGGTGGAGAGCTTGTCTAGTATCCACAAGGGGCTGGGTTCTATCCCCAGCACCAGGGGAGGAAAAAAGTCTCCCATGTGGGCTTCCCATTGCCCAGCTGGACAGATGATTCCAAACACATGATTCTGAGCTCTGTGTCTTGCTGTGCAATCTTGAGTTGTGACTTCACCTCTCTGGGCCTTTGATCCCTCAACCTTGACTGCCACCAGGGGCTGCTATAATCCAAAAAGGAACTGCAAGATGTGAAGATGGTTTGCACACTGGGAATGGCCCCCACTGGAGGCTCTGTGCTGGTGTCATCAAATCCTAGGAAAAGAGGAGGAAAGTAGGAAATTCAGGTCACAGTGCTAGACTCAGAAGACCCAAGTTCACATCTTCACCACTTACTCTCTTTGCAACCTTGGGTACAGGACTTCCCCTCTCTGAGCCTCAGTTACCTGATCTATTAAATGGGAATTACATACCTCACTTCACTGTGAGATGCTCAGTGAATTACAACTGAAATAACAAAGTTAAAATATTCTTACTCCATAAACAAGACTCACCCCGCACCACACACACACACACGCTTTCCTCCTCATCTGCTAGACTCTGTGTCAACCACCGAAGGGAAGGAACTGTGGGTGGGAATGGGCTCGAGAGAGATGGAGACTTGATCCTGCCATGTACTTACTGTGTGACCTTGGGCAGGGTGCTTCTCCTCGCTGGACCTCAGTGTTTTCACATGTCAGATTTGATGGTCTCTAAGGGCAGCTTCCAGTAATCTGTGACTTTCAGTGTCCAAGAGGAAATTTTTCAGCCAATGGAGTCTGAGTTTGCTTTATAGGGCAGCCTCATTTTGGAGTATTTGGAGTATGCAGTCCAACCAAATAGATTGCATTGGGAGGGTTGTCAAGTTATTAATATATTCATTAATGAAACGAATGCGTATAGCATGAGTCCCTGCCCCAACAGCCCTCCCTTCTCACTAGCATCTCTCCTTCACATCCATCAGTGAATTTAGCAGTCAGGGTTGGACAACGCCATGCAAAGCCAAGCCCAATGTGTTGCAAAGTGAAACTGCAAACCTTGCAAAAGATGCAGGATTTCATGACCTTGGGGAGTATGAGGTAGACAGAGAAGGGCCAGAACCTCACACAAAGCCATGGAAAATTGAGGACCTCAGCCAGGCCCTGAGAAGGTTATTTAAAATATCAAAGCATCAAGGGAGGTCCTTGAGAAAAAGCAGCAAGGTCCTTGGAGCATGAGCAAAAATAATCTTTTACAGTACTAGGTAGGTGGCAGTTAGGTAGGAGCAAAGGACATCATGGCAAGAATGCTGGAAAAAGTATACATACTTTACTCCTTGACTGTTCTAACAATTAGCAATGGTTTTCTAACTGTAATTCACGAAATGCAAAGTTGATTTCATAATATCTGCTTCTTTTCAAGGCAATCTGCTTTGCACTTTTTACTGTGTCATTCTGTAATTCCCACTTGAAAAGGAACTGCTTTAAGAAGCTTCCCAGGTCCTTTCACCTAAGCCCTAGGTGAAGTCACCAGTGGGGTTAGCACGTCATCCGAGCAGAGGCTTTGATACCACAGACAGAGCTGGAGGCCCACAGAGACAGTGTCAACTTTCTTTGGACAAAGAAATAACAGTGGCTCAGAGAGGGGCACGAACTGGGCTGGGGTTGTGCGCTACTTGGGCAGCTCAAGCTGGGGCTGGAAGGGATGAAGGCAAAGCCCCTCTCCCCACTTGAATGTGTCTTATACTTGCAGGATATCACCTACCTTCGCATCCCAGTGGCTGATACCCCTGAGGTACTAATGTAAGTTTCCCAAGATGGACCAGCAGATGGACAGACAGCTGGCTGCTGTGGTGGAGGGAAGGGGGAAGTGGTCTGAAGGAGGACAGGAAACACTTAGGCCAAAAAGCTGTCCCAGGGAGCCCAGACCCAGTCTGGTTCTGTCCTGCCCTTGTATTATGTCCTCAGCCAAGACTCAGCTCCCAGGCTTCAGTCTCAGCTATGAAATGACTCCAGTCAAGTGCACCAGCAGATGTTAAAGGGTCAGCCTGTTCCAGACCTTGGAGTTAAGACAGTTGGCTCCCGCCCAGGCTTTGCCATTTATTGCTTTGTGACCTTGGACAAATCGCTTCCCTCCTCTGAGCCTCATCTGTAAAACAGGGGTGTCATCAGTCAAGGAGGCTTTCAAAGATCAGATGACACAGGCTGAGGCTCTAGGACTGGACCTGGTATACAGCAGGAGCCCCCCCCCCAAAAAAAACAGGGGAATTTCATTTGTGTCTCAGCATTAGTGCCCCCAGTTTGGAATGGGCCTAAACTTAATTCTTGCCCTCTGGGAATCTTGCTCCTGACCCATTGCTGGCCATCATTGTTGCCAGATGCTCTGAGTACAGAAGAGTGGACTTCTGTGCCTCCTCCAACCTATTTCCTTGAAAGGCAAAAAGAAAAAAAAAAAACAAACCCACAGCAATAGATCACATGTCTGCGATCCCAGCACTCAGGAGGCTGAGGCAGGAGAATCAGGAGTCCTAGTTACTTTCTCATTGCCAAGATACACAATACCTGACACCTACAACTTAAAGGAAAAGAGTATTTTTTTCGGCTCACGTTTTGTAGAGGTTTCAGGCCACAGCCTCAGTTGGCTCCAAGGGCATGACAGAGGAGAAACAGCTCATGGTATGGTGGCAGGAGGCAGAGAGAGGTCAAGATGGGAGGGAGGGACATATACCCTTCCTGGTCAAGCCCCCAGTGACCACCTCCAACCAGGCTTCACTTCCCGACCTCACATTTAGCTATAAACTCATCAGTGGACTAAGCCACAAATGAGTATCACACCCTACCAGATGATGACCTGATCACCTACCAAATCCCCATTTATGAGCACATGGGACTTTAGGGGGACATCTAGATATAAGCCATAACAATGAGGCTCAGCTACATGATAGTTCAGTCTGGACTACATAGTGAGACCTATCTAACCCCTCCTGCCCCCCAAAAGTGACCCTCAGGACCCACTGGAAAGCTTCTTTGCCTGGATGGTGAGGTTTGCCTCTCACCACCTGAAATACCACCTCTGTGGCCTCCTGCCCACCTCACCGCGTGCTGTGGCACTGGCCCCTATTCTCTGCACGTGTCTGCCTGAGGACCCAGAGCTTTGGTTTTTCAACACAGGGGCTTGGCCAGGTGCATGCTAGGAAAATTCTCTACCACTAAACCACAGCCCCAGCCCTGTTGTTTAAATTTCATTTTGAGACAGGGTCTCCCCACATTGCCCAGGCCAACCTCAAACTGGAAATCCTGGCTCCACCTTCTCGGAGTAGCTGGGATTACAGGCACCACCATGCCCAGCACTCTGGGCTGTTTGTCCCTTGACAGCCTGCAATTGGAGAGGGGACACCTCCTAAAAGCTCTGCCCCTCAGTACTCCCTACCCTATTGCTTTCTTCTCTAGCAAAAAACACTTCAGAGAATGCATCAACTTCATCCACTGCTGCCGTCTCAATGGGGGGAACTGCCTTGTGCACTGGTGAGTGACAGACGAGGGGTACACAGTTGAGGGCTGTCCTGTGTCTGAGGAGAGAGCTCCTCTAGCCCACTAAGGAGGGGACAGCCCACCATACATTCTACGTGGCCAATCAGAGGCTCATGCCAAAGTCCGGTTCCTCACCAGCTGGGTGGCCATGGCCCAGCAGTTATTTGTCCCTGAGACTCAGTTTCCTTGTCTGTAAAATGGGCGGAGAATGTTGAACTGACAGGGGCAACAGAGAGAAGTGAGCGCATGCACTCCTGGCTCTTCCCGCCAGGCCTCTGAGGCAAGGGTGCTGGATAATGAGGAATGCGCACTTGGAGTTGGGACCCGAGTCATCTCAGATCCCAGGCCCAGCTGATGTCATTCAACCCTAAACTTGTAACCAGGGACCTGTCATATTCCAGGCTCCTGGTGGCTCTCCCTGAGCCTGTGCTGGGGACCCGGTCGCTCCAGCCTGGTCTGGCTCGCTTTTGTTCTCCCCTCACCCAGCTGCACTAACCTCCTTCCCATTCTCCAGATCTAATGGGCTTCCCTCTCATGGTCTGTACACCCATTCTTGACTAACCCTGCCTGTCTGTCGAGATTCAGCTTGATGTCACCGCCTTGAGAACTTCCTCCTAACGCCGTCCCCCAGATTAATACCTTCTCCTGGGTGGGCCTCCTAGGCCCCAGACCTCTTCAAAGCAGTTACCCATCCAGACCTGAGACTCTCTGCTCCATGAGTCTCCTCCCAGCTAAGCTGTAAACCCCAGGACAGTGGAGACCATGTCTATTTCATTCCCTACAATCCTCAATGCCTGAAAAAGAAAAGTTGCTGAATGAACGGCCGTTGTTTCACCTAGCCCTTTGCAGCAGGAGACAGAATGTGAGGAAACCTCACAGGCAAGGGCCTGTCGCTAGGAAGACAGGCCCTGGGGGTCCCCTGTGGCTGGAGCTCAGGAGGCAAGGATGAGGGAGCTGAAGTGGGGATGGGGTGTCTGGGGGTTGGGGAGGCTGGACCTTACCTGGAGCCTGGGGGATGGGGATCCCAGCTTTGCAGGAATCTCCCGCAGCACCACCGTTGTGACAGCCTACGTGATGACAGTGACGGGGCTAGGCTGGCGAGAAGTGCTTGAAGCCATCAAGGCGACCCGGCCCATCGCCAACCCCAACCCAGGCTTCAGGCAGCAGCTTGAAGAGTTTGGCTGGGGGACCTCTCGGAAGGTAGGGGCGACACTGGGCTGGAAGGAGCCCGGTTGGGGGAGGCAGGGCGTACAGGGGTCAGGGTGGAGGAGTGGGTGGGGAAGCAACCTTCCTCCTACCTGAACTGAACACCAGTTGAGAAGAATTCAGGCTTGGCCCAAGATTTTCTTGAGGTCTCAAACTTGGGGCCTTGAGCTAATCCTGCTCCTGAGTGTATTTGCTGTTCTGCTTGTTGTTTTGGTCTTCATTAACTTGGATTTGGATGCCCTGTAGACCAGAGTATGGGCTCTCACGGGTGACCAAGGGTCCCAGCCCTACCTCTGCCAGCTCTATTTGCCTGCTTCCGAGTCATTTGAGCATATGACCACCTTGGGGAGTACTGTTCACGTCCTAGTCCAATGAAATCTCTTGCCATAGCTCCTGGGCAGGTGGCACAGGGAAATGTCAGGAACTGATGTTAGGAACAAGGGGTGAGAGGATAAAGGAGAGGAGCGGGTGGCAGGCGGGTCCTGAGAAGCCGATCTTGCCAGGCCTGAGAGAGCCATGGGGGATGTGGGGCTCAGGGCCAGGACAGGGGCTCAGGGCACCGGGCAGCCCTTGACCCTGGGCCTCTGGCGTCCATCCGCGCAGCTCCGCCGCCAGCTGGAAGAGCGCTTCGGCGAGAGCCCGTTCCGCGACGAGGAGGACGTGCGCGCGCTGCTGCCGCT